GTGGCAAAAGAAGCAAGGTCGGGAAAGAGGTACGGTAGCATGAGGCGGCTCAGTGCAGCAGTGGCAGGGGTGGAGTAGCGTGCAATAACGGCGTCGTACAAGGTCTGAGCACTCTTGTACGACCCAAAGTGTGCACGCTCAGAGGGAGGGAGGTGGCGACGCACAGCAAGACGTGCAGCAGCATCGTGTGTGGCCCACACTGAGCGAACAGTGGCATCCTCAGTAGCAGCAGGGGCGGGAGAGGCACCATAAGTGAGATCAAAGAGAGAGAGGCCGTCAGCTCTGTCGCACTATAGGAAAAGCAGCAGGTCGTCTACCCACACGTCAAAGTTGATGGCTCTGCCCTCAGCGTCGAAGGTGAGGACACTGGGGGTAGCCATGACAGCAGTGGGGTAAGGGCAGTGCGCAGAGTAAAGCTCATTGCTCACCAGACAGGGCAGTGCAGGCGGCTCGGGCGGCTCGGGCGGCTCGGGCGGCTCGGGCGCCTCGGCGGCTCGGCTGCTGGGCGGCTCGGCGGCTCGGGCGGCTCGGGCGGCTCGGCTGCTGGGGCGGCTCGGCTGCTGGGGCGGCTCGGCTGCTGGGGCGGCGCAGTTGCTGGGGCGGCGGGGCCGGGAGATGCAGCTGCGGGGCCGTTAGGGGTAGTGGCGGGGCCGGTAGGTGAAGCGGCGGGGCCGTCAGGTACAACAGCGAGGCCGGCAGGTGAGACGGCAGATGCAGCAGCGGGGCCGTCAGGGGTAGCGGTGGATGCAGCAGCGGGGCCGTCAGGGGTAGCGGCGGGGCCGGTAGGTGCAGTGGCGGGGCCGTCAGAGGGGACGGCGGGGCCGTTAGGTGCAGCGGCGGGGCCGTCAGAGGGGACGGCGGGGCCGTCAGGTGCAGCGGCGAGGCCGTCTGAAGCAGCGGCGGGGCCGGCAAAGGGGACAACGGGGCCGTCGGGTGCAGCGGCGGGGCCGGTAGAGGGGACGGCGGGGCCGTCAAGTGCAGCGGCGGGGCCGGCAGAGGGGACGGCGGGGCCGTCAAGTGCAGCGGAGGGGCCGGTAGAGGGGACGGCAGGGCCGTCGAAGGCGATCGCGGGGCCGTCAGAGACGGCGCCGGCGTCGCGAGGGTCAGAGGGGGCGGCGCGCGACTGGAGGGCGGCACGCGTGACGTGGCGCGGCCGTCTAGGGGCGGCGCGACGAGGCCGCGTAGGTGGCGCGCAAAAAAAAATCGCGGGCGGCTCGACGCGATCGGGCCGCCAAAGGAAAAAAAAAAAAAAAAAAAGGCCCAGCGCGACTCGGGCTAGGGCAGAGCGCGCTCCGGGCAGGACGGAATAGTAGGTGGGCCCTAGGAACAGTTCCCACTAGGGAACCTGCTCGATACCATGTTGAGATAGAGGCGAGGAATGAGTGCACTATGAAATGAAACAAGTACAAGTACCAACCCTAATTGGGTTGTACCCCCTATGGGCTACCCCACTACAGCCTAAATATATGCATCAGTAATATAATCATCTGACACACCCCCATAGGCAAAGTGGGGGAGAGCAAGGCTTCACTGGGTCGTTTCCTCCTGGCACCCAGTGGAGCCTCCGGCGGCCAGTCTATGGTCTCCGCCAGGCACCACGTGAGTGGCACGACACACTGAGGACTACACTTGCGGCTCTTGGGTTTGCTCCTTCTACAGCCGACCAATCGCTGTTTCTACGCACCAACACCTCTTTGCCGCCGTTCTACATCCTCGTGTACATCGACGACCTGGTCTTTGCCACTGCTGACACTGCTGGACTCGCCCATGTGAAGTCCGAGCTGCAGAAGAGACACACGTGCACAAACCTGGGTGAACTGCGCAGCTACCTTGGCTTGCAGATCACCCGGGACAGAGCACGCCGCACCATTACCCTGACTCAGTCACACATGGTGCAGCAGGTCCTTCAGCGCTTCGGCTTCACGTACTCCTCGCCTCAGGCCACTCCTCTGTCTACTCGCCACTCGCTCTCAGCTCTGCCTTCGGATGAGTCCGTAGAGTCGAGTGGCCCGTACCCAGAGCTTGTTGGCTGCCTCATGTACCTGATGACCTGCACACGACCTGACCTTGCATACCCTCTTAGCATCTTGGCACGCTATGTTGCTCCTGGGAGACAGAGACCAGAGCACATGGCTGTAGCGAAGAGGGTGTTGCGCTACGTGTGTAGTACGTTAGGCATGGGGCTAGTGCTTGGAGGGCGACGTCGAGTAGTCCTCACAGGTCACGCTGACGCTTCTTGGGCTGACGACCAGGCTACGCAGCGGTCGTCACAGGGTTACACCTTGAGCCTTGGCTCCGGCTCTGTCTCGTGGCGGTCTACCCGCTCGTCCTCTGTTCTCGGCTCCAGCTGTGAGGCTGAGATCTACGCAGGGGCCATGGCTGCACAGGAGCTACGCTGGCTCACCTACCTGCTAACTGACCTAGGAGAGCCGCCTCGTTCTCCTCCAGTTCTGTACGTAGACAACAAGGCCATGCTGGCCTTGTGTCGGGAGCACAGACTGGAGCACAGAACGAAGCACATTGCTCTTCGCTACTTCCTTGCTCGCGAGCTGCAGCAGCGTGTCAGCTCCGCCTCACCTACGTGGCCTCTGAGGCCAACAGTGCTGATATCTTCACCAAGGCCCTTCCGCCTTGTGATCATCAGCGCTTCTGTACTGTGCTAGGTCTTGTGCCTACCTGGCCTCACTTGCTCACTTCTTGATCTTGTTTGTACTGTCTTCTTTCTATACCTGCCCTTGCTTGTTTTACCTTTATATATATGACCTTGCATGTGAACTGGCCTTGTGGCCTTACTCTTGTGCTCGGACTGTGTGGTGACTTTGTGATCCACCCTGAGCTTGCTTTGCTTTGCTTTGCTTTGCTTGACTGGTCTTGTGACCACTTGTTCTCCCCCACTTTGCCTATGGGGGTGTGTCAGAACATTATAGCTTATACATTTGTGTAGGCTGTAGTGGAGTAGCCCATAAGGGGTACAACCCAATTAGGGTTAGTACTTGTACCCAACTGTTTCATAGTTCATTCATTTCCATTCTCACTTCTCGTCAGGCGGCTTGGCGGCTCGGCTGCTGGGCGGCTCGGCGGCTCGGCTGCTCGGCTGCTGGGCGGCTCGGCTGCTGGGCGGCTCGGCGGCTGGGCGGCTCGGCTGCTGGGCGGCTCGGCTGCCGGGCGGCTCGGCTGCTGGGCGGTCCGGCTGCTGAGCGGCTCAGCTGCTGGGCGGTCCGGCGGGGCCGCTGAGAGGGCGGCGTCCCGGGCCGCTGGGAGGAGGCGGCGGGGCCGCAAAGGTAGGTGGCGGGGCCGCAGGTAGGTGGCGGGGCCGCTGGTAGGTGGCGGGGCCGCAGGTAGGTGGCGGGGCCGCAGGTAGGTGGCGGGGCCGCGGGTAGGTGGCGGAGCCGCAGGTGGGTGGCGGGGCCGCTGGTAGGTGGCGGGGCCGCAGGTAGGTGGCGGGGCCAGCAGGTAGGTGCCGGGGCCGCACAGGTAGGTGGCGGGGCCGCGGGTAGGTGGCGGGGCCGCAGGCAGGTGGCGGGGCCGCTGGTAGGTGGCGGGGCCGGAGGTAGGTGGCGGGGCCAGCAGGTAGGTGCCGGGGCCGCACAGGTAGGTGGCGGGGCCGCGGGTAGGTGGCGGGGCCGCAGGTAGGTGGCGGGGCCGCTGGTAGGTGGCGGGGCCGCAGGTAGGTGGCGGGGCCAGCAGGTAGGCGCCGGGGCCGCACAGGTAGGCGTCGAGGCCGCAGGTACGCGCCGGGGCCGGTAAGGGCGGCGTCAGGGCCGCAGGGCGGCGCGAGGGCCGCTGGGTAGGCGACGAGGCCGCACGGCGGCGGATCGGGGCCGGGAAAGGGCGGCGTGATGGCCGGTGGGTAGGCGACGAGGCCGCAGGGCGGCGGGTCGGGGCCAGGAAGGGCGGCGCGAGGGCCGCAAGGCAGGCGACGAGGCCGCAAGGGCGGCGCGACGGGGCGAGAAAAGGGGGGAGCGCGACTCGGGCTAGGGCTGAGCGTGCTCTGGGCAGGAAAAAAAAAATGTCGAATTGGTCGGCCCTAGGAACAGTTCCCACGAGGGAACCGGCTCGATACCATGTGAGAAATGAAACGAGAATGAATGAACTATAAAACAGTTGGGTACAAGTACTAACCCTAATTGGGTTGTACCCCATAAGGGCTACCCCACTACAGCCTACACAAAAGCATAAGCTATAATGTTCTGACAGGACCCCCAGAGGGGTCCGCCAGGGAGACTACAACCGGCCGACTGAGCGGCGTAAGAGTGGTGCGGTCTCGAAAGAAGGAGCGGGACGCACCCGAGTCTAGGGTGAAGGTGTGCAAGGCCTGAACCGACGTAGTACCTGAGAGAGCAGACTCACCAGCACTAGAGGCAGCAGACGCACTAGCACCTGGGGCAGCAGACGCGCTAGCACTTGGGGCAGCAGACGCACTAGCAACTGGTGCAGCAGACGCACTAGCACCTAGAGCAGCAGCCTCACCAGTACCTAGAGCAGTGGCCTCAATGCCTGGGTCAGGCGGTACACACAGGTAACAGTCACCCTCAACACTAGTAGACACAGCATACATGGCAGCAAGGATAGCATCATAGTCAATATCAAAGATGGCAACCCCCGCCCTAGACAGATCTCCCCAGCGAGCGATCTCTGACGCCTCAGGGAACTGGTGACGCCACGCGTCCGTCAGGCGGCCGAAGCAGCGCTGGGTGGAGTGCGGGCCCCCGCACTGCTCACCAGCTCGGTCGCCGGTACGGAGGACGTAAGTGCAGGGACCAGTGCCCCCACCGCGCTGACGAGCAGTGTACCACTCACGAAGCTGCTGAGGGGACAGGGTCTCACGACCGCGCTGCTGCTGCTGGCGCGGACAACCACCTTACCCACTCCTCTTCGTAGAATTGCGACCCGCTCCACCACCGCCTCCGCCGCCGCCTCCGCCGCCTCCTCCACCACCGCCTCCTCCTCCACCTCCGTCGCCTCCGCTTCCTCCGCCACCACCGCCGCATCCTCCGCCTTCACTGCTGCCGCCGCCGCCACCGCCCCCGCCACCACTCCCACCACCACGCCCACTCCCTCCACTGCCTCCACCACCACTTCCCACCGCCCCCGCTAACCCCTCCAGTTCCCTTGCCCCCCTTGCCCTTGCTGGTGCGGCGTCTCCCGCTAGGGGCAGACGCAGCGCCGACCCCGTAGAAACCAACGAGGACGGCAGCAGCAGCAGAAGCAAAAGAGGGCAAGATGGGGGAGGGGGAACACCCCTCAAAGACGGGGGTGCGAGGGTCACCACGAGAGGCTCCTACAACGACTATGCTCGTCTTTGCTGCTAGGAGGGCCTTCTCGAGGAGGTCAACGGTGAGAGTGGTGGGGCAAACTGAGAGGAAGTGGTCCCTGACTACGCGGAGAGAGCCAGGGAGGCGGGTGACTATGTAGTAGAGGGTGATGTACATGGGGGGGGGGTTCTTGGCGCACAATTCAGGAGGAAGCGCAGCGCGGTAGCGAGTGTCACTAGTGCGGAGGTGCGTAATGAGGTCAGCGACTGTGGGAAAGGCAGCAAGGTCAGGGAAGAGGTACGGTAGCATGAGGCGGCTCAGTTCAGCAGTAGTAGGGGAAGAGTAGCGTGCAACTACAGCGTCGTACAAGGTCTGAGCACTCTTGTACTGGCTAAAGTGCGCACGCTCAGTGGTCGGTAAGTGGCGACGCACAGCAAGACGGGCAGCAGCATCGCGAGTCGCCCACTGTGAGCGAACAGTGCTGTCAGCAGTAGCAGCCGGGGCAGGGGAGGCACCAGAGGTGAGGTCGAACAAAGAGAGGCCGTCTGCCCTATCGCACTGGAGGAACAGGTGGAGGTCATCGACCCAGACTTCAAAGTCAACAGCACGGCCCTCAGTGTCAAAGGTAAGGACACTGGTGGTAGCCATGACTGCAGAGGTCTAGCGAGGAGGGGGCTCACCAGTACGAGTAAGCAGGGCCGTGGCGCGTCGGCAGGACTGGTAGCGGCCAGCGGCTCGGCTGCTGGGCGGCTCGGCTGTCGGGCGGCTCGGCGGCTCGGCGGCTGGGCGGCTCGGCTGTTGGGCGGCTCGGCCGCTGGGCAGCTCGGCGGCTGGGCGGCTCGGCAGCTCGGCTGCTGGGCGGCTCGGCTGTCGGGCGGCTCGGCTGCTGGGCGGCTCGTCGGCTCGGCTGCTGGGCGGCTCCGCTGTCAGGCGGCTCGGCTGCTGGGCGGCTCGGTTGTCGAGCGGCTAGGCGGCTCGGCCGTCACGCGGCTCGGCTGTTGGTCGGCTCGGCGGCTCTGTCGCTGGGCGGCTCGGCAGCTTTGCTGCTGGGCGGCTCGGTAGAGGCGGCGTCGAGGCCGCTTAGGAGGCGGCGTGGGGGCCGCTTAGGAGCGGCGCAAGGGGCCGCTAAGGGCGGCGTTGAGGCCGCTTAGGAGCGGCACGAGGGGCCGCTAAGGCGGCGGGAGGGGCCGAGGAGCGGCGCAAGGGGCCGCAAGGGCGGCGTCGGGGCCGCGAAGGGCGACACGAGGGGCCGCAGGGGCGGCGGCGTGGCCAAGGAGCGGCGCAAGGGGGGCCGCAAGGGCGGCGCGCGGGGCCGACGAGAGGCGCGCAGGGGCGCAGGGGCGGTGCGCGGGGCCGACGAGAGGCGCGCGGGGCCGCAAGGGAGGCGCTCGGGGCCGAAAGGGCGGCGCGCAGGGTCGACGGGTGGCGCGAGGGGCCACAAAGGCGGCGCGCTGGTCCGTGAGGGCGGCTCAAGGGGCCGTCAGAGGGGCCGCTAAGGGCGGCGCGACTCGGGCAGGAGCGAAGCACGCTCCGGGCAGGAAAAAAAATATATCGTGGTGAGCCCTTTCGAGTGTTCCACTAGGGAACCTGCTCTGAAACCATGTGAGAATAAAAACGAGGAATGATTGCATTGAGCAGCATGAGGAGTACAAGTAGGAAACCCTAAAGTGTTGTACCCCATATTGACTACCCCACTACAGCCTAAAGAGACTATAGCAGATATAGTTTGACAGCCGCAACTCTGAGGAGGGAGCAGGGACGGCAGGGGCAGTGAGCTGATGGTTAGCGGGAAGAGGGGTGGAGATCGGCTTAGCCTGCGACATCTCGAACCGCTCGAGGATGGAGAGGATATAGAAAGATTGGGAGAGAGAGATAGTGCGCGCAGCACGATCGCGACGAATCTCCATGTCGAGGTAGTGTCGAAGCTCGCTGAGATCCTTGCACAGGAGACGGGCCTGAAGGGCCTTCTTGACAGCGGCAAGATCGGCGGAGTCCTCAGCGAGCAGCACTAAGTCGTCGACGTAGACAAGAATGTAAAGCCTGTAGGGGGAATTGCGAATGAAGAGACTGGGGTCGGAAGAAGAGGTGGAGAAGCCAAGAAAGTGAAGAGTAGAGGCGAGTTTTGCATGCCACTCGCGAGGGGCCTTCTTGAGGCCGTACACAGGGCGCTTCAGCTCCCAGACAATGCCTGGAGGAAATGGACGGGGAAAGCCAACGGGGCGCTCAAGGAAGATGTGTTCATGAAGCTCGCCCTGAAGGAAGGCATTGGAGACGTCCATAGAGTGGATCTCCCAATCCCAGCGAGCACCTAAGTCAAGAAGGAGTCAAAGGGTAGGGAGACGAGCAGTGGGGGAGAAGGTGGCAAAATAGTCAATGCCTTCGCGCTGGGTGAAGCCCTTAGCGCAATAGCGGGCTTTGAAGACATGGAGCTCCCCAGGCAACTGCTTGACACGAAAGACCCATTTTCCTTTGACAATGGTGGCGCCAGGTTGGGGGACAGAGCCGACGTAGGAATGAGTACGAGTGAACGCCTCACACTCAGCAATAATGACAGCCATCCACTCAGTGGCGTGGAAGCCAGAAACTGCCTCGGAATTGTGAGAGTACGACGGCTTATGCCAGCTATGCTTGCTTGCCTTTACTTTATTATGCTATTTCTAGCATAGGATAATTATATGCATGCATGAACTGCTTGATTTCCGAGGCTAGGTGCTTTCCTATATTTTATTAAAGTTATAGCACCGAGCTAGGTTGCGTGCACCGAATTCTGGCTTTTCGGTTGACATCGAATTACCTTCTACCGAATTCGGGAAGGATCTGTTCGGGATGCTTCGCGACTCTCAGAACCTTCGCGTAACACCTGGTTACTAGGCCTTGTGTCGAGCTTTTATATAGCCTCGTGTTGTACCTAGGTGATCAATCAATTACAATTATCTTTGCTGAGCTAGATCCTAGATCCTCACACTTGGTATTCAGAGCCTGTTTAGACGCGACGTTTTTCGACCGCTAAAACCTAGCTTTTAAAACCGCGGGGGCGACGACGGAAAGCGGCGATTACAGGTACGTAAACCAGTTCCTCGCTATTTTTTAACGTCTCCCTCAAACCGGTTTTCAAACACTCCTCAGGTCCAGTGGCGAAAAAGATGGAATTTCGAGCGTCGGATCGACTCGAATCTCAACGGCCCTGAGAATTTCGCCCAAAAACGCTGGAATTTGGAGCGTCAGATCGAATTTCTTCTCAACGGCCGAGATCGGACGCGAATTTCGACCAAGGGAGAATTACGCGACCTACAGAATCAGCGCTCGTCATTTCTACAGTCGATTCGACTCACAGTAAGATTACCAGCGCCTAGAATTTAATTTTCTTTGGTCGCACATTTTCCCGTAAATCGCCAAATGGAGGAAAATGGTGATAATTCCGTACGAAAAAATACAGAGTTAGACACCGGCTTGGACCAGACGCGAGCGGCACTCCAGCGAATAGAGGCGCTTCTCGCGAACCAGTTGGCAGCAGCGAACGCAGCAGCAAATGCAGCAGCGACGGCAGCAGCAGCAGCAGCGGCGACACCGACACTTCACCCAGCAGCAGCGGCAGTGGCTACAGTGAATCTTGAGGCGGCGCGTCCGAGGCAACCGGAGACGTTCAATCCGAATGCGGCAGACATGTCAGAATCCCAACCACTAGACCATTGGGACAAACGGGCTTGTTTCAGTAGCGGGTCAGTGCGCCCATAACCCCCCAGGCGAACGCACCTGTAACCCTCTCCAGGATCAATCGGGCATCCACAGTGCAGATCTACTGACAAGACACCGACGTCCGTCGATTCATTGCGACCCTCGAAATTTACTTCAAGGCCGTTGGCTGTACGACCCCAACACACGACGCAATGAGGATTCGGCTCGCAGCGACACAGTTACGAGGCCCGGCGCTCGAGTGGATTTACAACAGCAATAAGATCCGAGGCGAGGGGTCATGGACGCAGTTTCGGGAAGCTTTAATTCAACATTTCGAACCAATCAACTCTTGCTACATGGCGCGGCAGCAGATTCATCGGCATAACAGTTCGGCAGTGTAACACAGTACACGCAGCAGATGGAGAGCCTCTTCAACCGAATTACCGACCTGACCGAAGGGGAAAAAATCCAAGCGTATACTGAGGGGCTAAACATGGAAGTCCAGCAACATGTGATTGCCATGAACTACAACAACTGCCGCGACATGGTGTGTGCAGCAAAGAGATTCGATGCGCTGATGCGAGATCAACCCGAAACACGACGACGTATGCCGAACAGATCATTCGGCACAGAGCGATTGGCACCACCAACGACTGCTGACCTGATGGATATCGACAAGATAGACGCAAAGCAGCGGCCGACAAAATATGAGAAGTGTGAATTTTGCGGCGTAGCAGGACATCGATTCTTGGCGTGTTGGAAAATGAAGAAGGCACGAGCGGAGCTGCAGGGCAACAACAGTGCGACATCCACGATGGCGAAAAAAGGAGGACACGATGGCGCGAATTTAAAACGCCACAACCGGCCGGCAATAGGGGAAATCGCCGAGACAAATGGAGGCTCCGCGAAACAAGACTCTGCACCGACCGGGAAACTCCAGCCGAACACCCCCGAGAGTAAGAATATTCCCTCTCGAGGTTTTCAAGCCTTTAACAAATTCAAGGGAGATTTCGAGGCCAAGAAAAAACCTATATACATTATTCAGGTACCTGAGAAGTTGGGCAAACCATTCCGAAACATTGAAAAGGGTCGTGCGTCCTAAGGAGTTAATATTCTCTCCCCGCTGTCAGAATGTTATTGTTCTCTAGCCTGCAGTGGGGTATTCTATAGCGAGTACAACCCCTTAGGGTTCCCTATATGTATTCTGCTGCTTTCTAGTGAACCCCCTCCTTTGCTTATTCTCTCTTGCCTAGCTAGGACTTACCTAGCTATGGCACCCACCTATACCTACTATTTGTCACATGGTTTCAGAGCACTCACGCTCCTGGCCTGTGGGCCCTACTGCTGCTTCCGCTGCTACTCTGTGTATTGCACGCCCCGTGGCGTGCGACGGATTCCTCTTCCCGCCGCGCGGTCGGAGCGTGCGGCGGTTTTCTGCCCGCCGTGCGCCCCGAGGCGCGCGGCGGTTTTCTACTCGCCGTGCGCCCTGGGGCGTGCGGCGGTTCTCTGCCCGCCGTGCGCCCCGAGGCGCGCGGCGGCCTTCTGCCCCGTCGGTCCGCGCGTCGCCCCCGGGGGGCGCTTCGACGGGCGACGGGGACCAGCCCGTCGTCCCCCGTCGCCCGTCCTGGCCAGCGCGGGCTGCGCTAGCCCCGAGCGTGGCCCGTACGGGCTGCGCCAGGCCCGCACGCGGCCCGTATGGGCTGCGCTAGCCCCGAGCGTGGCCCGTACGGGCTGCGCCAGGCCCGCGCGCGGCCCGTATGGGCTGCGCCAGGCCCGCGCGCGGCCCGTATGGGCTGCGCCAGGCCCGCGCACGGCCCGTACGGGCTGCGCCAGGACCGTGCGCGGCTCGGGCCGCCTGCGCGCGGTTCGTCAGGCTGTGCCAGGCCCGTGGGCGGCCCATTCCTCTCTGTCCCTGAGCTGCTCGCTGTCCCCCGTGCTTCTGACGGTGCCCCACCCCTGCTGCTGCCCGTTCT